ACGCTTAGTTCCAGCGTTCTACCGGGCCGATTTTCATGATTTTTGCGGCTATCGACGGGCAATTGTCTCTAGATAAGCCAACTCTTTTCAGATTTTCAAAATATGGCCCAGGTTTTTTTATATTACGTGGTAAAGTTGCGAATTCTCCCATTTAAACAATGTAAATTTATACTTTTTGTCATAGTTCGTTTGAGCGTTCTATCGGGCCGATTTCCATGATTCTTGCGTAAATCGACAGGTAATAGGCCTTAGATGAGCCCGCTGTAATCAGATTTTGGAAAAAGGACCCAAGTTTTTTTTAAAATCACGTTATAAAAGTGAGTGAGTTTACAGAATGCTCCGGTACTGCTACCGCTATGCGCGGGAGGATGCGCAGTGGTCGAGGAAGTTGCGCAGTAGATGGGTAGCCTGCGCATCAGCTCTACACTTATGTACACAAGACTCGCTCGTGCGTACTCACGTGGAGCGGTGGCCGTGTCGTCAAAGACGTCGATTGCGTCCACTTAGAATTCGAAGTGGGTTCGATCCCCAACCCATGAAGTCTTAATTTTTACCTGACTATTATTGTTCATTGTTTTACTGCTATATTTCATCAAGCAGTCATCCCAAAACGCGTCCTTTTAATTTTAAAGTAATTTTAAGTAAAGTTTAAAATTAAAGTATACCTCATATCGTAATTTTTTAGGGGAAAAATAAAACTAACACTGATAGGAGGGTAAAAGTAGGGCCGCGAAGCGGCCCATTGATGGCGCGGAGCGCCTTCAGGGGGTTGGGGGGCGTAGCGGCCAGGGGGCGTAGCCCCCTAGTTAAAAAATAAAATATGACGGGAAGTCTACGACGTTGGAAAACGAGATACGTGGTTGCGGACTTACGCCGTTGATATTAAATTTCTTGAAAAAAAAACTTATCACTATATTCATCTCTTGCCCCCTGTCCCCTTTTGCAGCCTCCCCCGATTCAGTTAAGTTCACTGGGAAAAAAAATATTGGATCTGGAGTCCAGACTCTTGAAAATATTGACAAGAAAAAGGACTTTTGATTCAATCAGATTTAAGCTTAAATCAAAAGGAAATCCGCTCAAATTAAGAGGCTTGGTTTTTTATTTAAGCTAGATGATTGAATCAAGAGTACTTTTTCTTGTCGATGTTTTTAAGAGTCTGGACTCTAGATCCAACAATGGAACAAAAAACACATTGGATCTAGAGTCCCGACTCTTGACAACATTGACAAGAAAACATACTCTTGATTCAATCAGATTTAAGTTTAACTCAAAAGGAAATCCGCTCAAATTAAGGCTGGGTTCTTGATTTAAGCTTAAATCTGATTGAATCAAGATTATTTTTTCTTGTCGAGGTTTTTAAGAGCCTGGACTCTAGATCCAATGTGTTTTTCTTCCAGTGTTTATTTTATTACGTGTTTTTTGCTGATTGAGTTGTTCTTCATTTGATCTCTATTGCGATACTCCCTAGGCTGCACTCATTTTTAGTACTGCGTAAGCGTTGTAAGATCTCTGTGCACATTTTTTTTGTCAACAGATTTGCCGGAGCGAGGCCCAACTGTGATAACAGAGAAGAACACCTACGATGTCGGCGAGACTTTGCGAGCGAACTGCACCTCACCACCATCTAGGCCGCACGCTACGCTCAGCTTCTTGTTGAACAACATACCGGTAAGCCATGAGCCCTCGTAAAATATTCACGAGTATCCACCTTAACCGTGCAGTTATTATTATCATTGCTCCGGGTGCTTTTCATCCTGTCTCATAGCGCCCGTCTAGGAATAAATGACTCCCAATTACGAGTGCTGTGTCATGCCCCGTTCCTCGTTTCGAACCACCGCAGTTAAAGTATCCGCATTGACCAGAGGCAACTTTTTTTTATCCTTTTCGGTACAATACCACGAAGCCTTGTGTAGGAATTCAAAGTTGTAAAAAACCTTTCGATTAAAATATGCGTTTTGTGAAAATCCATGGATGCCTTTTTTTAAATTTTTCATATACTTTATCTAGGAGGACAGGCATATGTGGCGTTTGGGTGTCGTAGAACGCCAGAGTGCGTTGTAAAGCGACTTTATATATAAATATACTTTATCGACGATGCACTGTAAAAAAATTCTCGGCGTTTTTACCAAGGTCCGTTGGTACCTTTACCACCTCACTTTTTTTACCAATTATATTGGTAATCTTATCAGGACAGACTGGTAAGCTTACCTAAAAACCGGTATTTTTACTGTTTTTTCAGGTAAGAATACCAAACTTTTATTGGTAATCAATTCCCCGTAACTTTGCCATTTTATCTCGATAATTCTACCATATTCGATAAAAATATTGGCGTTTTTACCAAGGTCCAGTAAAATTACCGAGAAAGTTCAATAATTTTACCGAGATTTTTCGGTAAAATTACCAATTCCATAACTGGTACTTTTACCAAGAAAAATTGGGATCAAATAGAACCCTGAATTCTTAGTAATCTTACCCTTTTCTCAGTGAATACACCGATATTTTTTTTTCAGTGAATACCACGAAGCCTTGTGTAGGAATTCAAAGTTGTAAGAAACCTTTCGATTAAAATATGCGTTTTGTGAAAATCCATGGATGCCTATCTTTAAATTTTTCAGATACTTTATCGACGATGAAACTGCAAGAATGTGGATCTCGGTTGCGTGTGTCTTTTTCTGTAAGGAGATCAAACCCACATCATAACTTGAACTTTTTACAGATATGCTTAAGATAGAGAGGAAAAATCACCGAAATTTTCAAGAGATGACGATTAAGTTTTCCATGTAGAAAATAAAATATGACAGGAAATCTTCAACGCCGCAAACCGAGATTCGAATTTCTGCAGTTTCACAATCGTTACCTCCTACTGTGGATGAAATTTTCTGAGAATATTGGAAGAAAATTATTTACGAGTTCCTCAGAAAATCTATCCTTCATTAGAAGAAATTGGCAGCTTTTGCAAGTTTATACAGCGTTTTTTCGGAGAACGGCGGTACAAATGATTTTTTTGCGCCCTCGGTGCCCCACCATTAGCCCCTCCTGTAACAACGTGCGTTGTTGCTTAAGTAACAACGTGTTTGCACTTGAGTTAAAAGCGCAAAAGAACGTGTTGAAACATCAACGCGTAACAACCGTCTGAAAAAACGACACATTACTAAGCAGCCGAGGTTCAAAGATGATGTGAGTTCAAGGCTCGAAAAGTGGAGTTCCAAACGTTAAAAGTGTTGTTACCTCCTTAAAAGTTAGGATAATCAGGGCGCCTTCGTTTTGTGAGTATGCAACACGGACATCCAGCGAGCACGAATAGTTGCATCAAGGAGCCATAATTAAATGTATTTATGCCAAAAACAACTATGTCTCTCGCGAACCCTATGCACATAGTTCATTTTATAGCATAAATACGTTCAATTAGCGTCACAGAGCGTTTTTGTGTTGCCAGGGTGTTATTTAGTTGGAGGGCGGTCTGATTCATCTACCAAAACTAAAACAACTAAAAGGAATCTCTTTTTGGAACTTTCTACGCAGAAAGTAACCAATAAGAGATTACAATTCAAAATATTCGATTGGCGTAGAGGTTAAATAAATCAATAATCCTATCCACATCTTCCGGATGAATTTAAAGCGTCTCCGTTCGGCTCTCAGCCAAATTGTTCACATTTAGCCAGACATTACACATTTGAAACTACGTATCTACGCAATAAAACTATGAAAATATTTCATTATAAATGTTGTCTAAACTACGGGCACACAGTAGAATTTTAAGGACGATAAGCTGAAATAAATAAACGATAGAATTTACACTGGAAAAAAAAAACACATTGGATCTAGAGTCCGGACTCTTGAAGACATTGACAAAAAAAAAGGACTTTTGATTCAATCAGATTTAAGCTTAAATCAAAAGGAAATCCGCTCAAATTAAGAGGCTTGGTTCTTGATTTAAGCTTGAATCTGATTGAATCAAGAGTATTTTTTCTTGTCGATGTTTTTTAAGAGTTTGGACTCTAGATCCAATGTGTTTTTTTTTTCCAGTGTACATTATTATTTAAAAAAAAAAAAAAAAAAAAAAAAAAAAAAAAAATTTGAATGATCACCTTTTCGTCAAGACCTTAAGCTTAACCTGCGGATTAAAAAATTTGCAGCGTTCACTCCTCTCTCAGCCGGTCTCTAAACATAGAACGCGGTGCAACGCGGTGCTGCAACAATCAACATGAATGACTCCGCGAGGAAAAAGAAAATGACCGAGGTGGAGTTTAATTGAATCCTTTTGATGGAATCTCTCCTCAAGATTCCCTGAATCGCTCGTGCCTATTCAAGTGCAAAATAGAAAATACGAGGTTTTTGTGAATTTTAATGACGACGTGCATAAAGGGCGGCGGGTTCCTCCCCGGAGTCATTTTTGCGGAGCTCCGTAACTCAGCCGAGGAAACGCCGCGGGTCCTCCCTTCACCGGGCAGGTAGAAGACGCCGAGATACAAATTAAAAGCCCGGATCCTTGAGATTCCGGGAACTGGAAACTTAATAAGCTGAATTTTTAGCCGAAGCGAGCCGGGAAAGTGGGGACGCGACAGGGGCTGGAATTTAACCGAAACCGCAAATAAACAAACGCTCGGTTGATACAAATCTCGGCGACTTTATATTTTTCACGAAATGGTTAAGTTCTGTTTGCCCACTTAATCGCGACCCGAGACGGAGATCAAACGAAACGCCGCCCCGTCCCGAAAAAGTTCCCTGAAAGGGATAAATGCGAGCCGGGGCCCGAAACGGACGCGGGAAATGGACCCGAAAAGAAACTCTTCGCTTTCCTGTTTTCCTGCGGTCCGCCGACTGACTTGAGAGACGCATAAAATATTGCTGCCAACGTTCGAAGATGTCATCTGACGTGTGCTCCTCCGCGAGGCCCGCTTCGGCCATTTTTAATAATTTATCTGCCAACATATTTACATTTCGCTCGCCGCGCCTCTCATGTCGGGCCATTGTGTCCGCCTAGCTTGTCTGTTTCCCCGGTTGCATCCAGCGCCTGGGCGGGGACGAAAAATGTTTTGCGCTTCCAAGACCCGGCCGAACCGCCAACGGAAATCAGACCGTTTTCCTCAAATAACTTTCATTTGCGGTTCAGAAACTCGCCGGTAGCCAAGTTTCCAAAATAATCCCGAATAAGTAGTGCCATGCAAACTAGTCATATGTACATTCGAGAGTCGAAAAAAAAACCTAAGTGCGAGTCTCGGAATGGTGGCATATGTTAGATCAAGACACCTATATGATAAGCATACGGTGCTGTGGGGACTATACAGCTGAAAACGACAAGCACTGGAAAAATTCACGTAAAACGGCTTGGCCTACAAGCCCCAGAGCCTTAATAGCCACCGAATTTTTAATCCTCGTGTAGATTCGAATCCTTTACTTCGGGACACAAGAACCAGGTCAGTCCGATAACGAGGTATTTTTTTGGTATTTTCCAAACTAGCGATGAATTCACCCGATTTGTTGTTTTATTACTTTCCCAACGTTTTCCCGATTTGCTCTGCTCCGTTTGCAAAGTCCCCCGGATCTCTCCGTTCTCTACAAGACCAATGTAATTAGATCGGGGCAACAGTAGAGCTGCACAGACAAATCAGGGACGCTTTTGGTAACGTGTGGAGTCCACGCCGCCATTTTGCAAATATTATCGCACTCAAATCTGCTATCGAACTGACCTGAGTCTATCAACCTTGCACTTACTCAATTCAATTTCCGTTTGAGGTCATTTTTTCAAAACGATCCTATTCGCAAAAATCTTTTTTTTATCTATTGAATGAAATAGAGTCTATTTAAGTTTTAATATTTCATTGTGCATGACTTTTTTGCATTTATAATAACTTCATATCCAACCCGTATAGCCGAAATACTTTTCCTAAACAGATCGTCTATTTATGGGAAAGCCCCATGTACAGATGACTGGTTTGCTTACAGTCCTCAAAATCTAAGATATCTGAAGGGGAATACATTGAAATATCATTAGTGTGAAAGTTTTCCTTAGAAACACATGTCAACCTCTCTTCAGCCCAACCAAGGAAAGAAATAATCTCACCCGTGGTTCTATTAGACGTAGTTAAATCAGAAGAAAATATATCCATCATGAAATGAGCCCTGTTAGGCATGTATTCTTATGGGTCTCAGGGCTCATATCAGAATGCATATAGTTCCTTTTGATTTAAGTGCGTCCTGATTCTAAACGTTCCGATCACTCGTGGTTTCTTTTCCTGCTATATGCACAATTTGGCAACGCTCAGCCGAAGGACGCGAGGCGAGACCGAAATCAACGGTGCGGCTCCTCATTCCAATTCCTGAAAAGTGTAAACAGTCTTGGGGATTTTATTTCCCTGATCGGGGGAGGGGCGAAGGGGTCGCGTGAGATTTGCGACAAGTAAACATCGTCTCCCGAACCTATTTTCGCCGAGCTACCACGGATTAACTTTCCGACTTGCTTGATTCAATTGCCATCTTGCCTATTAACTTTATGGTTAGGGGGGAGCGTGGAAATACGTCATGTTACATAAATAAGTGATTGTTCTTATGATCGGAAATGAGACCCCCAGTGCAACAACTAAATAACAAGCGGGAAAGTTTAATGTGTTCGTGTTAGAGAGGCGCTCACTTGTTTTCAATGTAGGCGCGTTATTAAGTTCCCCGAA